AAAAATATAATAAGATGTTTCAAATTCCAGTAAATAATAAATTTTAAAATACATTTTCTCAGGTTCACCGTAAAATTAACTAAAAATTTCTAATTTTTTTACGATGGTAATAAAATTTATGAATTTCATCACCATAAAAATTAACTGAATTGACTGTGGATTTACTTTCCGAGTTTATGCGAAGATGGCGACGACGCCGTTTTGGGTGTCTCTTCATTTGAGGTTTTTGTAGGGTTTTCTTCTTTTGATGTGTCACGGAGAAAGAAAGCAGAGAGTCGGAACGACCAACGGAAGAAAATGGAGTTCGACAAGAGGAAAGCAGCGGTATTAGCGTCGCTGGGCTCGACGGAAACGGACAAATCACCAAAAGGCACGTTGGACGAACCAATCATCCCTCTCCTCAACGTCATCAACAAAAACCCCGCTTACTTCACCACCAGCTCTTGCTCCGGCCGTATCTCTATCCTCTCTCAACCAAAGCCTCTGCCCACAGTCTTGGCTAGCAATACCAAGAAAAAAGCCCGAGGTGGTTCATGGCTCTTCATCACCCACGACCTGGCGGATCCCGACTCGGTCGTCTCCCTCCTCTTCCACACTGAGTCAACTCACGATGTAGATCAGCCCAGTGAGTTAGTTTTCCGGTTCGAGCCATTGATAATCGCTGTTGAGTCCAGAGACCTCTCATCAGCGCAGTCTCTGGTATCAATGGCTATAGCTTGTGGGTTTCGAGAATCTGGGATTACTTCTTGCGGTGGCAAAAGGGTAATTATAGCTATACGGTGCTCCATAAGACTGGAGGTGCCTTTGGGTGATACCCGGAAGGTGATGGTCTCGCCCGAGTACGTGAGGTTCCTTGTTGGGATTGCTAACGAGAAAATGGAAGCTAATAGAAAGAGAACTGATGGGTTTTTTCAAGCTCTAAGGAGTAATATGGTTGTGAGTCCTGCTGTTTTGCTGAGCGAGGATCAAGTAGTGATGAATGGAGGAATGCGTGATAAGGAGAATCATGGTCGTAGTGGTGCTGATCAAGATGGGGATGGTAATATGCAAAGATCTAACACCAACTTGAATCATGGTAACTGAGTTGGTAATGTTCATTTTCGATTATATAGTGATGAATTATGAATATTGTGTAATGGTTTTATTATGATGCATGTTGTTTATGGGTGTTGAATTATGATAGATAATCTGTGTTGAACATGATGAGTGATGCTGAATGTGGAATCATTTTGCTATAGTTTAGTTATGATGAATGACAAACTGTACGGGACTTCTGGTTAAGCTGCCAGCCAAATAATTTTTTTGTTTGAAAGATTGAAGGTGAATTCTAGCACAAGTTTAACTTGGCTTGAAAATAGAATGAGTTATGATTATAGGTTAAGTTTCCAACGTTGTTATCAAAATATCTGAAAAAGGATTGTCCCACATCAGTTTACGTTAAAACCATGACATTGAGCAAAAGTTAATCCTGAAATGCCTTCAGAAATTTCTATTTTTGATAATGCTGATTTATTGCTTAGGCATGCTGTTCATGCTTTATTTTAGATTAACATGTATATATCAAGTGCTTGATTAGTACTATAACGGGGTAATATATATCTCTTTGCAGGACAGATTTCCTTTTAATGTATGTGACAGCCAGTCTTAGTATTTAAATAATTGGCAGGGCCAGTAGGAGTTCCTTCTTGCATTCCGTCTATTTCCCAGGTTTTAGTTGTTGGTGAACCTGTGGGAAAGCTTTTCTTGTGGGGTCACTCGTCATGTGCATTGGATAATGAAGACCGCAAAGAAATTTTTGTATTTGGTGGTTTTGGGGGCATGGGAAGACATGTGCGGAGAAATGAGTTATTATTGCTTGATCCAATACTTGGTACACTAAGAGCGGTTGATACAGAGGCCTCTCCATCTCCACGATTAGGTCACACATCTTCTTTAGTTAAGGATCAAATGTTTGTCATTGGAGGTAGGGCTGATCCTTTGAAAATTCTGAGTGACATTTGGGTCTTCAATACAGCTAAAGATGAGTGGAGAAAATTAGAATGTATTGGCAATATATTTCCTCCCAGGTACGTTAATGTTCTGCTCCTATTGCTGTATCCGTTCTCTGACGATTCACTTTTCCGAATTAGTTATCTCATAATTATATTGAAGTACTCTTGATTGTAAATCCAAGATCAAAGGAGGAAGGCGAATTAGTTCTTTATCTTACTTTAGATTTGTTAATCGTTTCACCTACCTTCATTACATATTGAACCCTTTAGGATGGGTGATTGTTTAATGTTTAATATCCTTTGATTTATCCAGTGTATGTAAATACCTGTCCTAAATGATTATCTTTGGGGTTAATGCAGGCATCGGCATGCAGCAGCAGTTATTGGATCGAAAATATATGTATTTGGTGGGTTAAACAATGAGACAATTTCATCATCCTTGCATGTACTGGAAACAGACAGCCTGCAGTGGAAGGAGATATTAGCCAATGGACAATGGCCATGTGCCCGTCATTCTCACACAATGGTTGCATTTGGGTCTAAGTTATTCATGTTTGGAGGATGCAATGGGGAGAAAGCTCTAGGTGATTTGTATAGTTTTGATGTTCAAACATGTTTATGGAAGGAAGAAAAGGTGGCTGGGAGAAGTCCACATGCAAGGTTCTCCCACTCAATGTTTGTCTACAGAAATTTTCTTGGGATCGTTGGGGGTTGTCCTGTCAGACAAAATTCTCAAGAGTTGGCATTGCTTGACCTGCAGTGCTATGTCTGGAAGCACGTGGCTCTCCAATCTATGGCTAAAGAGTTGTTTGTGCGCGGTACAGCCAGTATTGTTGGTGATGATCTTGTTATGATTGGTGGTGGTGCTACTTGTTATGCTTTTGGAACAAAGTTTAGTGAGCCAATGAAAATTGACTTAGCCCAAATAATTCCTTTTTTGGATGGCTATCAAATGCTTTCAGGTAGAAGAGGAACTCATGTTATGTACCAGGATGAAGGGGTTACTGAACAGGAGAATGACAACCATCAAGATCTAGAAACTGGAAATGAGTTGTCTCAAACTTGTAGCTTAAAATTTGAGGTTGAACCACAAAGTGCAAATGCTGGGATGGAGATGCCTACTTCACAGTGGATAGTAAAACTAGAAAGAAAATATGCAAAGTTAGGAAAGGATATTTTAAAGAAGTTTGGCTGGTTGGATCTTAAGAGGAAAGTTTATTCAAAGGACAACAATCTACATATTTGTTTCCCTGTGATTCAGAAATTTTCTGTTATATTCCACGAAAAGCAGCTGGAGAATGAAAAGGATTGCTCAAATATGCCTAGACCACTTAGAAGAGATGCTTTTTCTTTAGATGAGCTTTCTTCTTCAACGGCTTTAGATCTTCTTGAGGAATGTGGTGCTGTAAAAGTGGTAGATGAAATTGTTGAAGTCAGAAAAGTTTCCAAATCTCCCTTTCAAAAGATGAATGAAGCTGTAGCCTCTTTGATTGAGAATAAAGGCTTATCAGCTAAACTTCTAGAAGAGCTGCCCACAAGGTTTGTGGGTCATGATTTTGTTCTTTGGTGTCTATAACTCAGCTTCAAGAATCTAGTTTAGATTATGATTGAATGGGTTTTTTGGAATGTTTTGCTGAATTCATAAGGTTATATTCAAAATTGTTATCTATTAAATGAATTGACATAATTTCACTTTTAATTCATTTCAGGTGGGAGCGACTTGGAGATATTGTTGTGCTTCCAGTAACATGCTTCAAGGATCCAATTTGGGACTCTCTGGGGATGGACCTTTGGCCTGCAGTTGCAAAATCACTTAATACTTGCCGTCTGGCTTGCCAAGTATGCCATTTATGGAATTCTTTTTTTTTTCTAAGATAATATTTCTGGAAGTATGTCTAAGCTGGTGCATGCAGCAATTCATGTTTTATTTATTTTGTTTTAAAAGTAACATATCTGAACCAGTTTTGGTCCGATTTATGTTCAGAGAGGAAGAAGAAAGCACTTGATGGAAAATGTGATTGAAGTTCGTGTTTTTTTCTTCTTCATACCCAAAATTGATTTTGATGCCTCCTTTGAGATTTAAATGATATACTGTTGGAGAGTGAATTATGCCAAGATGTGAATGTGGCATTGAAGAGGAGTACGCACAAATAGTATCTCTCAGGTTAACACCTTCTAAAGAAATCTACACGAGTGCTTTGTTAAGAAAGCACTTCCCGTTTCTTAAATCTTATTCTTTGTTGTTCATCCTATTACGTATTCTACATATTGGGTTTTCCCACTTGAAACAAGAGAATAATTTTGAACAACATCATGTAGGACAACTATGGTTAATATGCCTAGTTAAGGATTTGGAAGTAAAAGTCTTGACATCAGAATTGGAGTTTCTTAAACATCATATCTAATAAGCCTTTTCTTTTTTTTTTTTAAATAAAACACATTTAAGAAGTCTTAACCAACACATTTAAAGACTTGATTGTATCATACAATGAAAAAATAGAGAAGACTCAAATAGTTTGTTGAATAACTGAACTTTGTTTCAAAAAGTGATATTATAAAGATGTTTATAATGATTTATAAGTGATTTTTTCAAATAAGATTAAACTAAGAAATATTAATTCTTAATAATAGTAAAATCAAATTCTACTAATAATAAGACCCTAAAATTACTAGAGTTATAATAATAGACTTCTCAATATATATATGTATATTTAAATGAACTATAATTTCTAATCTATTTAGGCCGTTTAAACTTAACCATTCTCCATGTCTATGTCATTTCTCGGTGACCTATAGAACATAAGTATTCTATTTAAGAATTAGCTCATGTCATTACTTGGTGGCCTGTGGAATCTTGGGCTCTATGACCAGTTTAGTAGGTGACCGTGCAGCCATCTGTGTCCAACTATTCAAAAGCTTAAATAAAGTTTTTGCAACACTGGTTTTTTTAAATGGATATCATTGAGATAATTGGTAAAAATTTCACTCATCAAAATGCAATATTTCTAAATGATGCATATAAGTTTTGTTCACTTTTGTATTTTTTAATTAATTTGCTGGTATTTCCAAGGGTCGAGTTGCACCAACTGGTACTAGAGATAGTACTTTGGAGATTCTTGTAGGAGATAATGGCTGGGTTGATCATCGTGAAAATGGGATTCTATACTCTTTCGACGCTACAAAGTGCATGTTTTCTTGGGGCAATCTCTCAGAAAAAGTTCGCATGGGTTGTTTAGACTGCAGAGATGAGGTTATTGTAGATCTGTTTGCTGGAATTGGATACTTTGTGCTTCCATTCCTTGTCAGGTACACTTATAAATTATGATCTGACTCAGTCGTAAATATTTTACTAACCTTAAATTTGCAACTACATCCAAAAAGATTGCTCTGGGATATTATTTCTCCTAAATTAAATTTTTTCCCTAGACCGTGTGTTTAGAAATGTTTATTTGGTGCATATAAATAACTTCAAGCATTTTATTATAATTTACCTACTTAGCAATGGAATAAAAATGTGTTTATTAAATGCTTAAAAGTAATTTTAAGCAGGAAATGAATAATCACCTTGTTCCTAACTATTTCCTGTTGGTGCTTCTTTTTTCCTATTGATTTACTTTCTGCACTTCTATATAATTGTTTATTTTTTTAATGAAGCACTTGGCTACTTAAATAACTTAAAGTCTATAATGTCTTAAGTACTCGAAATACAATTCTCAGGGCAATCTCAAAACCATCTAAAGGGCTTTCTTTCGACATATTGAATTTTTAGATCTATTTTATTCCTATTCAATTTTTAGATCTTAATTATTTAATATGTATAGATTAGTCATAACTTACATATTTAATACATGACTTAATCAACTTCACTTGTATCTTCAATGTCACAATGATGAACTTGTATTCTTATTTATCGATCTTAACTATGATGTACCATCAAACAATATGATCAACAGGCTTTTCTATAAAAGCAAATAATATATAAGAACTTAATAGCAAATGTAATTATATTGCAAGGTTATTACACCAATCAAGCATGCTCTTAATGTTTTACTAAAGACACCATCTAGATGGTCAATTGGTAAAGAAATTTTTCAGTAATCTGCAGTCCTGCAAAGCCTGTATCTGAATACAATGCTGGTGTTTATCATGCAGTATTGTCATTATTAGCAGGTTCATTCTTAATTGTTTTTATGTTTTGTTTTATATTATTTTAAATAATCTTGTTGGTTGATAGGGCAAAAGCGAAGTTAGTCTATGCTTGCGAATGGAATCCCCATGCTGTTGAGGCCCTTCGGCATAATCTTCTAGCCAATTCTGTCTCTGATCGCTGTGTCATCCTGGAGGGTGATAACCGGATTATGGCACCAAAAGTATGATCAATCACTTCATGTTCTTTTTTTATTAAACAAGTTTTATTCTTCATGTAGCAGAGCATGCTTTAGCTTCAGTGTCCAGGCAGATGAGCTATGATGTGATGCAGATTTTTCTGTTCTGTTTTATAGAAAACATGTCACCATAAGAACGTGCACTTACTTGCATGAGGAGATTATGCCCTGATTTATTCACCCCAATGATCTACTTGCAGGGCGTTGCTGATCGTGTCTGTCTTGGTCTTCTTCCAACAAGTGAGGGTAGCTGGGTTACCGCTGTAAGGGCGTTAAGGTGCGTTATCCTAAAATTCCCTCTGGTATTTTTTCTCATCCATTTTGTGGTTAGCCCTCTTAACAGTTGGTGCTGCTTGCACCTTATATATATTTTTAAAAAAAAAAAAGAAAAAAGAACCGGGCAAATCACGTAGGGTCCTTGATTATTGGGTATACTTGAAATTATATACATCAAATTTTAAAAGTTACCTAGTTTTTTTTTTTAAATAAACAACCCCAAATAATGTACCTGATCCCATTAGAATTTTTCAGTTAAACGTACTTGAGTGAAAATAGTATTATGATGGGTGACCTTTTCGGAAGTTCTCGTGTTTCGCGCGTCTTATTTAGTAAAAAAAGTGCAGCCTAGTTTTTTATCATTTCACAGACAAAAATTCTGAAAAGAAAACTGCTATAGTGTTATGTGCTTACTCCTTTTATATGTTTACTACTATCTTTTTTTAGAAATGACTATTTGTTTATTTTCTTGAGCAGGATTGCTTGCTATACTGTTTTTTTGTCTGTTTATTTTCTCGAGCAGAATTATTTGTTGGACTGTTATTTTTCTAGTATTTGATAATTATGCGATACATATGAAAGTATCATCTAAAGTTTATTAAGAAACTGAACCTAATTGGCCGATATATATATTTTTTTACAAAAGTAAATTGTTATTCAAAAACAGGGAAGTTGGTAGTAATATCCAAAACCTTAGAGACATTTGTGTAAGTTATCCAAAATTAATTGGAAACTGTGTTTCCACCTGATATTTGCTGATATGAGAAAGCATAATTTTATTCTTTTGATTTCCTCTTATGCTTCTAATTACTTTTATATATAAACATCCAAATACTTCTTGGTTTTTGTTTTTATCTTTTTCCAACGAGAACTCAGCATCTTCAGAACCAACTTTCTGAAATTCAGACATGTACCGAAGATTTGTCTCTACTCTTCAGCTATTTCTAATTGTGTATTCAATATAATGCACAGATCTGAGGGTGGGGTCCTGCACTTGCATGGGAATGTGAAGGACTCCGACAAAAGTTGTGGACCAAACATGTTGAGGAATCAATACTAGAAATCGCCGAATCTGAGGGTATCGGCTAAATTACCGTAGCGAAACTTGTTACTTCTTTTACATCAGTTTCCAAACAGTTTGCAGAATATATGACTCGAAGAATCATGGGTTGTTGTTCGCAGGTCGTTGTTGGGAAGTTACTGTAGAACATGTCGAGAGAGTGAAATGGTACGGCCCACACATTCGCCATCTCGTTGCAGATGTGAGATGCAGGATGATACAAACATAATCTCATTCCACATTCAAGAACAGTGAGCATCATTGGCAAGGTAAACAAATTAGTCACGTTATGGTGTTGAGCCGGATAGACATCTACAATTGTCTTGTGTGGCATTTGAATTCTTTATTGCCCTCACATGGAGCATAGCAAGTTGGCCTCCCATTGATAGTTGCTGGAAAATTATCTATATATATATATATATATCTATGTATCTTTATATCTATATGCAGTAGGAGACAGGGGAGGAGCCAGATGACCTCAAATCAATTGTTGTACAGTTTGCTATCCAGTGTATCCTTTGGTTTTTTGTATAATTATCATGGGTAAGAAACATAACATAAAAAAAACCAATGCTAACAAATAATTGGAGATATAAATATATATATATATATTTATGTGTCCGTTTGGTCAGACGTCTCTGCCCATATATATATATATATATATTAATTAGGAAATAATATATTAAATCTGCCTTGAGTATTTTCTTTTTTTTTTAATTAGGATATTTTCAGTAGACTTTTTTGACGTCACTGACGATGATAAATGTTTGACCATAAAAAAATGAAACTTGCAGTTAAACGCATCAGAAGGTCCAGATTGATTTAATCACAATCTATGAGATGGAATCTTCCATGTTGGTCATCAAAAAGAAGGGTGATTCTAGGCAGACATAAAAAGAGTCCGTGGACATGCACTGTACCGTATCATTTATTTTTGCAGATCTCTATGCTATATTGTTTGTAGTCAACATATATTATTTGCATTGGATAATTAAAGCGTACACGTTTAGTTAATCAATAATTAATGCGTTAATTATTTTTTTAATCAACGTTTATAATCTTGAATCTTGTAACGACTAGATTCCTAATATTTTATATTATCATGAATAAAATTTTAAATTGCACTGGTAAAGCAGAATTTAATATTTTATAAATTATTAGTGGTTGATTTATAATATTTAATTTAATATAATTTAAAATTAATTTATTAATATATTAATAAAATAATAGTGATTAATTCCAGATTTGTTTTAACAAATTATAGAATAATTAAATTTTTTTATGTAAATTTTTTTAAAATAATTTTTTATATTTTGTAAAATGACAAATTAATTATTGTAAAATAATCTTCTAATTAATAAATTATTTTTTTGGGTTGGATTATTTTATGATTAAAATCAATAATTTTTTTAAACAAAAATTAAAATGAATAATTAATTATTGATTAAGTATCTTAATTATCTTAAAACCCTAAAATTCGACATTTAAGATTTTAAATTTAATATTTAAATTTTTTTCCCTCAAATTTAAGTAAACGCCAAGTAATGATTAATGAGTCATCATTTGTGGGTTCCACTACACGCATGCAACTGTGGAGGCAAAAGTGTCGGTGGCTCAGCCGCCAACGATGATCCACCCGATATGGCTTCGGCTTCGGCTTCGGCTTGAGCCGCATTTCACTTATTGACATTATTTATTATTTTTTTAATGAATTTATTTAATAATACAATGGGCAATAGAAAAATTCAATATTTAGTACTAAATTACACCTCCTAATTACTTCTCCTAAGGTAATTTATCTTAAATTAAATAAATTTTATTTTTTAACTATTAATTTTACTAATAAATCAATTAAACTACATATTTTTATATTTTTGAATTACATAAAATCGATATTTTTAATTTAAAATATTTAAAAAAATTAAATATATATCTATATATATCCTAACTTAAAACCCAGTTTTTAGATTTTGAAAATTTTTACCACAGTAAATTTAATTTTAAAATTACCATTTAAAAAGTTTCTGACTCTATGATTCCTCTGGGTAATATATGTAGCTTCATAGCTCATTATGAAAGAGTCCAAAAAAGGAAAGGTGCGTGACAAACTTTTTTTTTTGCTTTTATTGAATTATTTCCCAAGCTTTTAAATAAATAAATGAGTAAAATAAATTGTCATTATGTTTACTTTTTTTTAATAATATTATTATATAATAAACTAAATTATTAATTTAAAATATACTCGTGAGTTCACAATTTTAATTAATTACAAGTGGTTAAATCAATTTTTTTTATTTATTAATTAAACGATGTACGTATGATAATTATAATATTATATATAATTTTTAAATAAAGTTATAAATATACGTACGCGTTTACTTAATTGATTAATCAGTATGTCTCTTTCTTTATAAAAAAATTATAAATTTAAGTCAGATTATATTATAATATGTGTTATCGTTTAGAATTTAATTTTTTGTATATATATTATTTTATTGATAAATATATATAAAATTAAAAATAGGGTTTAATTTTTAAAAACTAATTTGGTATTTTTTTTTTAATTATTAAAGACATAATTTTATATTAAAAATGAAAACTTAGGAATTTGAAATCTGTGTTTACTTTTTTTTTTTTTTTAAAAAAAAAAGGAGTATTTGGAGAAGAAGATAAAACAATAGGAAGAACAAAACTTGTGAAGAAAATGCAGGGCTGCATGTGCAAGAATTGGACACTTGTACTAATTTCTAGTTGCCAAATTGTTTACTTGGCTATAAAAAATTAACCCTAACGACAAATATAGAAGTATACTATATTTCTGTACAATAAATTCTTACCTTATTTTGAGCAGTAAATGTAGGAGATCGCTCGCTCACAAGTGTAAACCAGAAATTTCCTTTATATTTTAGTGTTATCCAACAGTGCTCCCTCTCTTCTTTATTTAACAGGGTACTCAAGAGAGTTCCTGACCAGATTCATCAAGGTCACTGACCTTTTTTCAGTGAGAGAGAAAAGAAAAAATGGCTGCCAAAGCTCTCTTCTTCTTTGCTCTGCTTTCTATCTCAGCTTTCTCCGCTTTAGCAGAGAATGAGGAAGGAGGAAACCCTGGTCTTGTCATGAACTTTTACAAGGACAATTGTCCTCAAGCTGAAGATATTATCAAAGAACAAGTCAGGCTTCTCTACAAGCGCCACAAGAACACTGCATTTTCTTGGCTCAGAAACATCTTCCACGACTGTGCCGTTGAGGTAAAATTAAAGCCTAGAGACCTGAAAAAGAATTTGTTTCCATTTTACCTTTGGTTGGTTTCTGTTTCTTTGTAAAGATTTTCCAGTTTTTATACGTGGGTCTGGTTTGATTTCTTTTGGTGTGTGCTAAGGTTATCCAGTAAGTAAAACCCATTGAAGGAAAAAAAAAAAAAAAGGATGTGTGTTTGATTAGTTTCTGTTTTTTGCAATTATTCTCCATTTTTGGTACATGCATTTGGTTTATATTGTTTTCTTGTGTGCTAAGATTCTCCATTTATTGACTTGTGGGTTTTAGTCTTGTGATGCTTCACTTTTGCTGGACTCGACAAGGAGGAGCCTGTCTGAGAAAGAGACAGACAGGAGCTTTGGACTGAGAAATTTCAGGTACATTGACACCATCAAGGAAGCTGTGGAGAGGGAATGCCCTGGAGTTGTTTCCTGTGCTGATATTCTTGTGTTGTCTGCTAGAGATGCCATTGTTTCGGTACTTGTCTTAACCCTTTTTTGTCTAAACTTGCCTATGTTGAAGCTTCACTTGTTTCTCTCAACTGGGTTTTGTTGATTCACTCTCTTTTACTTACAAGCCAGTTATTTACACAGGCACTGAAAGTCAGTGCTCATATTCACCTCACCAAAAGCTGTAATTCATCTTATAATCTAAAATCAAATTGTGTCATTTATCCTTTTTTTTTTTTTTTGCTATAAAAGTCTTGTCTACTTCATACTGAGAAGTCAAAGAACTGAAGCTTTTAGGACCTTACCAGTGAGGCACTTCATTTCCTGTTGTATTTAGTGGATAAAGATAGCTCAGTAAGACATTTATGTTGTATTAGTTATAAAAAATTCTACTTTGTTTCAGCTTGGCGGACCTTATATCCCTCTCAAGACAGGGAGAAGAGATGGAAGGAAGAGCAGAGCTGATGTGCTGGAGCAGTACCTTCCTGATCATAATGAGAGTGTGTCTGTTGTCCTTGAAAGGTTTGGAGCTATAGGCATTGACACTCCTGGAGTTGTTGCCCTTCTAGGTAATAGTTTCTTTTCTTTTTTTTCCCTTCAGTCAGAGCTAAATCAAAGTGACTGAAACTTGTATTTAACTCATTATCAAGTATTACATGCACAATCAAATGATACTAGAAAATTTTTTAGTTGTTCTACAAGCAGAAACTCATTGGAAGACGGTAGAAATCATTTACCCTTTAAATTTTTACTCCATAGTTTCCAGACAAAGATTCGAAAGGAAATGATCATACTGAAATGATATTCCAACTCATAAATTACCTTAAGCATATAATAAGTACTCATGATATGATGAAGTTTGAATAACCTAGCGATTTATTGTTGTTGAGTCCTAACTATGGGTTGGTTTGTTTTCAATAGGAGCTCATAGTGTTGGTAGAACCCACTGCGTGAAACTGGTGCACCGGCTCTACCCCGAGGTTGACCCTGCATTGAACCCTGCCCATGTTGAACACATGCTCCACAAGTGCCCAGATGCAATCCCAGACCCCAAAGCCGTCCAGTATGTGAGAAATGACAGAGGCACACCCATGATCCTAGACAACAACTACTACAGGAACATCTTGGACAACAAGGGCTTATTGATTGTTGATCACCAAGTTGCCCTAGACAAGAGGACCAGACCTTATGTCAAGAAAATGGCCAAAAACCAAAACTACTTCTTTAAGGAATTCTCAAGAGCCATAACCATTCTTTCTGAGAACAATCCACTTACTGGCTCAAAGGGGGAGGTCAGAAAGCAATGCAACCTTGCCAACAAGCACCATTAAGAAGTTCTTTTCCTTATCACCGAAGCTCCAATTTCTCTCCTTTGTTTTCTACCAAGGAGCAGAATGTGAGAGCAGCAGAATAAGTTGGTTTGTCTTAGAAGTGTTTGTTACTTCGCAGGGTGGTTGTTGCACCAGTTAATGATATGATAATGGTGGTGGTCACATCTTTCATTGCACATGCATGCCCTGCTCTTAGCTTAGTTTTTCTCTCCTTATGAGTTTCATGTTGTTGGTGATGGGAATAGTGGATGGATGTTGAGGGTGTATGTATGTATGTAGTATGATGACGTATCTATGTATGGATGGACGGATGGTGGTGAACATATATGATGCATGGATTTCAATAATGATGGTTATTTACTATTCATGTCTAAGGTGCTTTCTTGATGTCATGATGATGATGATGATAAATTTTTAAATTTGTTGAATCAATGCAACAGGCTCCATCATTATAGAAATGTTTCCCTGAAAAGAATAATGCTCCTAAAATGGCCTTAGGCTAAGCTGGGTCCCTGCTTTAGCTAAAGGACAGAAGCAAAATAAATAAACTAACAAGAGTAAATTGCGTTAGATCATAAAGAATCATACTTTCAAAGAAGAAAAAAGAAGATAAGATTTCTTTATATAACCCAACTAGAGAGTTTTATCAATGTTTATGGGCTACATTATTGTGGTTGGTAGGAAGAGAGACCTAAACAGTAATTGCAGAGCAGACAAATAATTGAATGCAGAACAGAGGTGTGGGTCTTTCTCCTATATGTAAAATATAATTTAGCAAAAATTTTGGGCAACTTAGTAGAGTTCTAACTTAACATACTTGATTTTTTTATTTATTAGTAATTTTTTATGAATGTGTTTTTTGAATCTAATTCTACCAAATTGCCAAATCCAAATCTAGACAAGATAGGATGTCCCATATAATATCACAAACAGACACACAAAGAAAAAGTTTATGAAAGACTTAAGTAAATCAATTCATCAGATACCCTGCAAGACTTAATGAAGCTTATCTCATCGTTAACACCTCTAAAATCTGTTACATTATTAGAAAGCTTAACCAAATAATTCTTCTGCTGGATTTTACCTTCCAAGTTTCTACTGCTGCATTTTTAAGTTCATATATAACGGTACAAACTTAAGCATTATTAATGAGAGTCAGTTCATGAATTTGAGCATCTCATACTCAAACTAATGGCTGATACTATGATATTTTTACACATATTGGACAAAAACTGCAAATGACAACCACTTTATAAAGATGCAAGTTAGTAGCTACCAGCGGTTATTTGTATTTTTTTTTGGGGAGTGAATGATTGTCGCTTCAAAAAATTATTGATTTTTTAATCTTTGGCTTGATATATTTCATACTCACATGACAAAATAAGATTAATTGACTAAACTGCAAGTTTTTTCGCAATGTCTCCGATATGACATTGAGGTGAAAAATATACACAAAAATGCATTTTCTAAGTTAGAAAACATTCATGCACCTGATCTTGATGTAGAAGGGATCAAAGAATCGTATTTCATCCCATCTTTCTTCCATGAGATTTCTTTCAAGAGATAATAATTTACTGGAAACACAGTTTTCACAGGCTGATCATTTGCTGCAGCTTGGTAATACCTGTTTTGGTTCTGTACTGCTTGAGCTACTATCAGAGTCACTATCAGCTTCCTCCAATATTAGGTTGTTCTTTCCACTGCCTTCTACTGTCTTCAGAATCGTAGGACTGGAGGCATGATAAGAGTAGTTATAATGAGGCTGTGGATTGATGGACATATAATTTGAGGAAGATGGAAAAGATTGATATCCATATGTTGTTGTTGGATACAGACCAGGAGGATATGTACTCGGTGGAGGCCAGTATATCATAGGCATGAATGCATTTGCTGGGTATGGTGGGAACATATGAGATGGAGTTTGATTATGGTAAGAGACATTAGTACCAGGATATTTACTGTTCGTGAGTTGTAGACCATCTTCTGGAGTCTGATAAGCTGTAGACTGGCAGGCAGCCATTGCATGAGTTTGAATAGAGGTATAGCCTGTAATTCCCACTTGTGCAGGAGGTACAGAGCTCAAAGGAATAGACTGTTGAAATGAGGATCTCGGCAAGCCATGAGGCTTCTTTGAGCCTGTTTGTTTCCTGCCCTTGCATCTGGTTGAAGCCGGCTTCTCAGTTAGCTGCTGAGAACTAGGACTTGCCTGATAAAAGAGTAAGGAATGTTTCATGTTTAGAAACTGTCGCCAAACAGACAGCTAATACAAGCTCAGTCGTATTTTGGGTTAAAGCAAATTCAAATTGATCCACACGCTCAAGAGTCACCAGTGCAGCACTATTACGTCTGAGAACCTTTACCATAAAAAAAATGTACAAACTTGAAGTAAACACTAAAAATAAAAACAAGGCATGGATACGGCAGCTGTGATCTTACTGCATCACAAATCAATGTGTGGGAAAGAAATAAATCCTCTCCTTCGGCTTTCTTGTCTGTCCTGTAATTTGAAGGAAGTACTGTCAAGTGAAATTGCTCAAGAAGAAGCTACTTTGAAGAGTTTGAAGTGTATAGTGTAAAATCCATGACAAAAATAAGCTTAGGAAGTTTTGGTAAAAAAAAATCTGCGTAATACACAAGTTTCTTGTTATCTGGAGAAATCACCTATTTCTAGAGATTCTGTAGTTTGATTAAAGAAGGTTCATAAAGTATCACACGTAACCAGGTTAATCAGGGCTTGATTATTTTAACAAAGATCGAGAAACATATATCTAAAGATGTGTGCTTTGAAGTATGATGGCAATAACATTCTGTTCCAGAAACACACTTTGCTACTTCATAGCATTGTAATACCTGTAATACTTTTGCAATAAATCTAGGTTCCGATATTTAGTTTCCTTCTGAACTAGATCATCAGGGAAACCAGCCATGAACAACAGTGTAATGCCCAAGGCCTTGAAGAAGAAGCTTCCGCTGCGAATATGGACTAGCATTGCCATTCTGCACATGACAGGTCCGAAGGACTTCAGCTTGTTTCTTCCCATTCTCTGCCTGACATACCTGTAAATCCAAGATTGTTTGAAAATACTTTCAACTCTGAACAAGCAATAAGTTCTGGCATTCATCTTACTCATTTTGGGGAAGATTTCTTGTCCTTCCACCATACTTTATGCACAGAAACAAATATGACGGGCAACCAGGATCAGATGGACGCATAGCCTTTTCCTCTTCTAGTATTTGAACTGGACACAACATTGGATTCTCACTATTTGGATAGAAAACCTTTCTCCGGACTCCAGGATTCTCGTATAACACATGCTCCTGATGATAAATAAACGTAATGCCTTTATTGTCAATTACTATGGAAAGAAACAGGTATGTAAGAGGTAAAGGCAGGTCCATCTTGTAGATACCATCTTATTGCTTTATCAAATAAGTCATAATATTGAGTATCTGCAATTAGTTATTGAGCTACAATCATGGCTAGAAACTGAAATCTTTTGGCAATGTACAAAAGGAAAAGAAACCACCGTGAAACCAGAACCATAGTGCATCTCAAGAATAAAGTTTAGTCACATACCCCAGGATCCTTTGAAGAAACATATGGCTCGCCTTTCCTTAAAACTGTAAAATGATTGAAGTCTAGCTCATGCATATCTTCACATCCATGCCTTATACCAAGAGATGCAAAGACTATGATCTTCCTCATAGTGTGAGACTGGGCATTGTTCAGTAAAAGGGCATCAGACTCGAGCATTCTCTTTACTTCTTTTGGACAGAAAGGCACTTTCAGAGGCTTCTTGTACAGAGATACACTTCCAGCTCCTGTACGCAATGCCTTCTTCTGAGAAGCAAGAGCCTCAGGTAGTGTCTTGCATCCTTCAATCTTCATGCTATCTTTCTTCTCATCATTTCCAAGATCAGTTTTCTCATGATCTGGTCGAGTGTTGGTTGTTATACAATCTATTTTACTGTCTTCATTTGTCACCTGGCTCTCATTTTGAGATTTCAGCTCATTCTGAGAACCATAAGAACTTTGCAAATCTGACATGTCCATAAGCTGATTTACACCTTCATGAAGCTTTTCCTTTACTTCACTGAAATCTTTTAGATTCTCATCCATTTCTCTGTTTTTATAGTTGGTGTTAGTATCATCTTCTTCACAGTAACCATAATCTTCTTCACTATCATCTGTATCATCACAATTTACGGCAGAGTCACTGTCTTTGAGTTTATCATAATGCAAAAGATGAATCTTGTCATCTCTACTCATCCAATTCACTAATGGAGCTTCTGGATTTAATGCTATGCCAGAAATGTCAGAACTATGTTTTTCCATTGAGGCCCTTTCGCCTTCTGTAATATTTCCATCTTCAGCTGCACTTGTATTCTCTGTCTTCTGTCTTTTAAAGGTCCTGAAGAATCTTTCTTTTGTGGCTAAACAACCCTGTTAGGCAATACAAAAGTGCCAGTAGTGATAATTTTATACTATGAAAGTATGCAATGATATTAGAAAAACTAGGGAAAGAATTTCTTGATTATCTTGATGATGATGCAAATATATACCTTTACTGAGGTTAGCTTCAGGATTATTTCTTAACAACTTAATTTGAAAGATCCATCGAAACACGATTAACCATTGAATCTGGCTAAGAACTTATTTCCAATCTTATCTTTCTAGTAATCTATGTTTATCTTTGTATTTGGTATCTCAAGTAGTGGAATGGTTCATATCACTCAAACTGATTTTATTTAAGATATGGGAATGAAGATTTATAAACAACTGATAATGATATATCTTTTCTGTGTACTTTTGCAGAGAAGGAAATGAGATCATCAATGACAACCATGATCATCAGAGAAGTCAAGAAAAGGAGCTAGACAAAAACACAAACAGAAAGTGGGCAATATAATCATACTTGTTCATTATTTGGAATAGACTCCTTACAACTCTCCCTCTCTTGGATTTGAGCTTCAAGAAATGATATTCTCTCCATAAGCTCTGCATTTCTCTCTCTTTCTCTCTGCAACTCAGCTGAAATCTCTGCAACGACATTGACACTATCTTCTTTCACTTCTTCCTCTATACCACACAAAGCAGATAAGCTAGCGCAAGACTGAAGCTCCACCATTGACAAACACTTCATAAGCAAATTAATGTAGAAGAAAATCTTTCAACTTTTAAACCAGATTTATATTACTCGAGGATTAAAGATAAACCCAGTTAAACCCAGAAACAAAAACCTTCAGAGATTCAAAAAAAAAAAAACAAAGTCTTGGGTGATATTTGTAGTATTTAGAGGGAAAAAACAGGTACCCAGCTAACAAAAATGGAAGAAGTTTATGTTCAGTGATGAATATGTGAAGTTAGATAAATTGGCTGATTCATGAATTAAAAATGTCAAAAGAGAAATGAGCAGACAGTCTTGCGTAAAGCTTTTTTGAATGCAACTGAGAAAGGGATAAAAAAATTAGACTATATATATATATCTATGTATATAAAAATTTGACTTTATGGAGAAGAGAAAGGTATAATATTTGCGTGTGTGTTTGTGTTTGTGTTTGTGTGTGTGTGTATATATATATATATATATATATATAATATCGATTTGAGAAAGAAATGAGAGTGATGAAGAGGAGTGAGACATGCAGCACCACGTGCGTCTCCCTCTCTCTCTCTCTCTCTCTCTCTCTGTGAAAGACGCCATTAAAGAAATTGCTGAAAGATAACTTTTTGTTTTGCTCTTCCAATTAATTACTGTAATAATTATTAGATTAATAGTATTAAATCAATAATTATATTTTAAATATAAAAATCAATTTACCAAATTCATAACTAATGAATCTAACATGAAAAATAATATTTATTTCTCTAAAATATTTTATAAAAACTACATACAAGAGATGATTCCATTTGAGGTAAGTTCATGAGTAGCCAAGAGCTTTGTATTCCCAATAAGGTTGATAATGATAAATGTTTGTTTGTCTTACTTACAACATATATATATATATACATGTATATATAATTATGGATCCTTAATCTAATTTTTTTAATAAACCCATCTGTTATTAGTTTATTATACGACCATAATTAATTAACAATACCCAGTAATTAACCTCTATTTTTGTGTTAGTGGTGTAGCTGTTCAATGTCAAATTAATCAAGAATTAGGAGCATCCTAGGCACTTATATAATTAATTTTTTTTTTAATTTATAGTCTTAATTGATTTACCCAGTACTTCTTAATTGATATTGCTGCATATAAATATGTATATATATATATATATGTAGATATGTATGTATGTATGTATGTATGTATGCATACATGCTGCTTCCATATGGGACAGAAGCAAAAGTTAGTGGAAGGAATGTCAATGGCTACCCTTTTTACCTGTGACCCACGGCTCGTTTAATTTAGAGGTCTGCAATGACTTTAATTAATTAAGAGTTTTTTAATAATTTATTATCATAATAAAAGTGAAATTTATAAAATAAATATTAATTAAATAATTAAAATATTATATCATGGTTTTAAAATTTAATAAATTTTAATATAAAATCAGAATAATTTATTTATTGAAAATTTATATGATGGTGAGAAGAAAAAGTAAAAGATAAATAATTATTGAAAAAAAAAAAGTGTTCGCACGTGCGTAAAATGAAAAACCAAAAAAAAAGTTACAACACAGAATTAATAGAAAAAGAAGTCACGTGGGAAGACAACTTACACGGTTGTCTCGTAATGCAGTTTGTGTCAGGAGAGAATATCAAGCTTAAAACCTAAACCTCGGATACCTTCCCTCTTTGCTCCAATGTCCGGGGATTGAACAAATTACATTTGTTTCATGACACCAACGTTTGTGTCTGTCTTTATGAACCGAGTTTAATGCCCTTCAAATTAAAGCCTCTCATGGTGTTTGGTTTGTTCTTTAATTTCATTGATTACCTCCACACCGTGTCTTGTAATTGCTTCGCTCGAGTTCGGAATCGGAAACAACGAAAATGGAGATTAATAATCTGGGTACTCCTGCCTTTTCTTTAATGCAAATCTCATACATTACTATTCCGATGTTATATTATTACTTATATTCGGGTGTTATCCGATTTACTCAAGTCATAAAATATATAAATTTTTACTAAAAATATATTTGTAGATATGTATCCCCCACAAACCGGGCATCTCTCTAGCAACTCCTCGGCCAGTTTTCGTAATGAAACATCAGAAAATCACCAAACATTATCCCCGCGAACTGGGAAAACGAAATACAATAAAACACAGACAGAGAAAATCCTATGATCTATCCCCAACATTGATATTCACAAACACTACAAATTCTAGGAAGATTTAGGCCATCAACCTGCAGCCATCAACCCTCCAGGTTTCCAGCCAAATTAAATAGCCTTATGCACACAGAACAATCAGTTTTCCAATCATCATGTCAAAGTAACCAATATAAGATGATGTTCATACCTAATTCCTCATGGTCGGAGATTGATCTGATTCGTTTAATAATTAAGCAAATCATTTAAAGAGAATAAACCTCTGTAACAAACTTGATATCTCTCATCAATGTAACTAAAAGAGTTTTCCTGGCTGTTGTGTACCACTTCTCATCATCGTGCAGAACTCCTCGTAGTTGATTCTTCCGTCCTATGATCAGTTCAAGTTGCATCAGCACCAATCATGATTATTCGAGAGTTTCAAATGTTCGGGGAAGAAAAAACCAACTTACATTGTCAGCATCGACCTCAGAAATTATTTCTCGGATGCTAGCTTCATCCCCCATTCCGTATTCCTTCATGGCACTCTTTAACTCATCCCTTGTTATATACCTGCAAGGAGATTTACATTAACGAATTTCTCAGATTTTAACTTGCATATTGCCTTTCAAGACACATCTGAAATAAATGGCACGATCATCAAAGCAGGGAAAAAGAGAACTCACCCACTGTTATCTTTGTCAAAATATTGAAATGCTTTGTATAGGTGCTCATCCCTTTCGAGTCTGTATCTATGCATTGTCGCAGAGATAAATTCAATGTAATCAATTGCCCCATTTCCATCCACATCAGCCTGGAATAAAATATGAACAGAAATATAAGAATGCAAGTAGAGTACTCGAAGTAAGCAAACATCACCATAACAAATTCATTTAAGGCCTTAGCTACTTACAGCTTCCATGAGTTGCTTGACTTCAGCTTCTGAGAGCCTAGATCCGAGCCTAGCCAAACCAGATTTCAGTTCTTCATACGTTATTGTACCACTATTGTCAGTGTCCATGTTCGCAAACATTGTCTTAAGCCCTTGAATTTCTTCCTCAGATAAACTTTCTGCAATTACCTACAAGAAATCAAAATTCACCAGCATTACAAAATGAAGAAGGAAGATAGAACAAGAAAGAAAGGCATAAATCAGAGCTTGGAACCAGATTCACCAAAAAACTGAAGATTACAATTGTTTATTACTTATAGGAAACCTTAACCCCGATAAACTCCATATTTCAAAGTCTTGAACTTGTTTCGGAATAGAAAATTATATTATTTTTATATGTATGTCAGCTTACGGGGAAAGGTTTATGTTTGTGTGTGTCTGTGTTTGTGTTTACTATTCAAGCCCAAACCTCAACCTCAATCCACTCGATCTGTCAAATTCTTGAACTTGTTTTTGACTAGGAAACAATATTATAGTTGTGCGTTTATTACCTGTTCCCGAACCTTAAACAATATAATCAACCTCTCAAAGTCCTCAACTTGTTTTTGGATAGAAAACTATATTCTATATATGTCAGTTTTGAAGGAAAAGCCAAAGTATGCATAATTGTGTATTCTGGCACAAGGTAGAAAATGTTCTATTAATTTGATGAAATTAAGACATTATAATAAAAATAGTTTGATATGCATATTGGAAAAAGGGGAAAAAACGCCAAATGAATCTTTAATGAAATTAAGAACATTATAATAAAAGTAGTTTGATATGCATATTGGTGAAAGGGGAAAAAATGCGAATGAATCTTTGATGAAATTAAGGCATATCATAACAAAAACAGTTTGATATTTTTGTTGCCATTTTTCGGTGGTAAAGAAAATGAGGGGTAGTGCTAATCCCTACAGGCATTATCGATGAAATACCCCTCTACTGGGAAATGATTCGGAGCAGGTCATAGATATAATCTTTGAATGAGCCCATCATTACAGCTCCATTAGGCTCAAAGTATAACTTCGATATTCTCCTCAAAAAAAAACTAACTAGAATATTTCTACTGGAGAGTGGACAACATAATATCACTATGAAATAGTATTATCCAGAGACCATGGTTGGGGAAAAATTATCAAGGATCCAGGAAATCAGAAACTAAATAAAAATCTACTAAGAGAAGCACTTTCCTACCGGTCTTTCTTAGGCGGTGGGTGGGTTGGAGGTGTTGAAATGAGTACCATACATAAGAGAATATGATGCAATTCTTTCATCAAGTAATGGCACAAAATCAAATACTTTCACCTGGTATCCAATAAAAATGAGAAAGAAAACATAGAGGGGTATTGGCGGGAACATCCAAAATTGAGGGTCCTGGCAGAGCTGCAGTGAGGATGAAGCAGCATCGGGTGTTTTTGTTGATATGGCCATGGTGATGGCAATGCTTATGGTATGGAAATAGCTATATAGGGAAATATGCCTGGATCGACTCCCTCAAAGAAAAAAATCTGGATATTCCACTAGAATGACCACTCAAAGCTTATTTGTCAAGTTAAGTAATATGGCATTAATTTTTATTTTCTGCCTCGAGTTTCCATGTTCATTCATGGCTTAAGGATCATACAACAACATCAGCTTGTTGCTTTTGCTTATGGGTCGACATAAGAGATTCCAATCACATTTTGGTATAAAGAAAGACACTTCTCCATTGCAATTTGACACTAACCTTCAATGCAAGTTTTTTGAGCTTATTCATTGCCCTGAATTGCTTCATTCTTGAAAGAACTGCACTACCAATTGGTCTGTCTGATGCTTCTCCACCTTCCCTCATCCAAGGATGCTCTGGCCAGAGAGATTGTTGTGCATTAGTTGGAAGACAAAACTATTATAGACAAACTCGGAAGCTATTCATCCAGAAAAAGAAATTGGGAAAGCATCCATCAAATGTTATCAAGTGTAGCAATTACATCAAGAGAAAATTCTTATGTATACTTTCATATGGGATGGCATTTAAAGGGAATATAACACATTAAAAGGGCTTTACTAGAACAAATTCTCGATAAGAATTGATCTACGAAATTATTCGTTGAAAATACTTCCACTGATTATAATTTAATCCAAAACTGATTCTAACATACAATATTCAATTAACTCAATTGAACTATAACAGAATGGAAGGTTACTACCAAGAACTTGGGCAGAAGTGATTCGTTTCTTTGGATCTTGCATCAGCATCTTCCTGACTAGGTCTTTGGCACTGTCAGATACCAAAGGCCATGGATCACTGTCAAAGTCAATTTCCCCTTGCATAATGGCATCAAAAATTCCTTTTTCCGTTTCTACAATATAAATTAAGCAAACTATATTAGTAAACATTTCAAACGTATGCGGATGAAAAAAGAATCTCGATAAAATTTGGAAAAACAACTAGATTGTTGGCCTTTACCAGCCCAAAATGGAGGTACACCACTAAGGAGAATGTACAAAATAACCCCTGCACTCCAAATGTCAATTTCTTTTCCATAACTACGTTGCAGAACTTCGGGAGCAACATAGTAAGCACTACCAACAATGTCGCGGTACATTTTCCCTGGCATTCACAATTTTGGAAAATGGTCAGTCCAGATATGAACTTAAGGCTACCGAACAGATAGAAAAGAAATGAATAACTTGATAAACGTAGACAGTTAAAACTTTATTCCGATGCCAAAAATGTCACATATAAATGAAGCATAAGCCATAAAACTAAGTAAAAAAGAGTTCTCCAAAAAATAATTCCTAAACAAACATAAAAGACAGAATCAACCACAGGGAAAACCATATCGAACCCATATAAGAAGGCAAACCAAAAGATATAGATAACCCACAAAGCTTCCAAAACAATAACAGAAAGCAAAGTTCTATTGAAGCAAGCTTTAACAGAACATTTCAAGATACATTGAACAGGCTAATAAGCAGCAACATGCTAAAATTCATAATAGTCAATACTTAGCATCAACGTAAACAGAATTATGTTCATAAAATGCTGGGAATTTTCTACCAAACACACATCATGAACCCATCAATAAACTCTTGACGGTAAATTAACTTGAACTCTAGAAAACAAAAGGGAAAAGGCTAGATTTTTTCACCTTCTTCAATGAACACGGACAAGCCAAAATCAGTTGCTTTCAACATAGCCCCTTCATCCTTACTAGACAGCAAGAAATTCTCTGGTTTCAGATCACGATGCATCACTCCCATGAAATGGCATATATGGACCACATTAACAATGGACCTGCAAATAGCAGCTGCAGCCCTTTCGGAGTAATGCCCTTGAGCAATTATCCGATCAAACAATTCTCCACCAGCACACAACTCCATTACCAGGTGCACAGATTGTCTATCCTCATAAGCCCCTCTAAACTCCACAATATTTTGCTGCCCAGACAAATGCTGCATAATCTGTACCTCCCTCTTAATATCTTCCTTGTCCTGTTTGCTGGTGAGCTTTCTCTTCAAGATTGATTTGCAGGCGTAGGTTTGGCCAGTTGAATTCTCTGTGCAGAGATATGTTATGCCAAATTGACCCCTACCCAGTTCTTTGCCAAGCGCGTAGTGCTGCTTGATATCTTCAAAGGGTTTGCCTAGTATGGTTTCTGGAACCCGAGCAGGAACTTTGCTTGCCAGCGTAAGTTGCACCGTAGTGGATATTATCGGCGGCGGCGGCGGCTGAGGCCTCGTCTGTGGTGGGGTTGTAACAGGTACGGAAACTTTTTGAACAACATGGTGGTGTTCCTGCTGCTGATGATGATGATGTTGGTGCTGTTGGGATTGACAGGAATTGGGTAATTCTGATCTGTAGCCACTCATATTTTCTGCTTGTTGGGCTTTGGGTTTGCTGCTACAGCAACCCATTTTTGCTGCTGATCAGGGTGGAAAGGCAAGGTGGGTATTGAATATGCAGGGATGTTAATGAAGAGTCTCTGAAAATGAAGCAGAAAAAAGAAAACCTAGATCAAATTTGACGAGTTGGAATTGACTCAGAAAGAGCAAGCGGACAAATACAAATACTTGGATCAAAAATTTGAAGATGGAATAGTTGACTATTTATATTTTAGGAGAAAAATAAAATCTTTGTAAGAGATAAGAAAGGAAAGTGAGGAAACCCACTGAAGAGGAAACAAATTTCTCATTGTTCTTCATACTTCCATCACTTTCATAACCTCATTGTTAAATTTATAATCTTTTTAATTTAATACATAATTTTCTTTATCTCTAGAAATCAAGATTGTAAGATATTTTGTAAATTTGAAGAAAATTTTTTTATCTATTATTATATTATTTTTTTACTTTTAAGTTTATAACAAATATATATATATATATATTAAAATAAAATTTAATTCCCTTTTTTTTTTTTTTTTGTTCAAATTTCAACTCAAACACCAAAATTCATGCCTAATTCTCCCCTAGATTTTGGCATAAATTAACCAAATTTTCAATGAGAAAAATATGAAGTAAATTAAATATTTAATTTAATCATAATTATTGGGTTAGATCTTAATATAGGAAATCATGGTTAACTAATTATAATTGATGAAATATAGAAAGTCAAGATAACCCAATTCTAATCTATTTTTCTCTTTCAAAACATATATATATATACATATTTGTGTATATGAATTAAAAGTGTCATATTAATTAATATATAATTAAACAAAATCAAGAATGTACTTAAACTAATCTAATTAAACCACGTAAATTAATGCTTAAATCGTGACTGTTCAAGAATTCAAGACACTTGCCATGAACAAATATATATATATATACATACAATTGATTGCAAAATCATCTCAAAGTACATGCATTTAACCTTGTTCCCTTTTTAATTTTCGGTTAATATTCATTGAATTACAATATATTGATTTGTATTTATTTGTTTTTATAGTTTGATTCTTTTGAATTAATTTTACAAATAACTTTATAATGCACGAAATTTATTTTTATAATATCTTATTAGTAGTATGATGTGTATAAATTTTAGGGTAATTTTTAATTTAATCCCTTTTGTTTTTAGGTCTTTTAATTTAAAATTATATATATTATAATTGACTATATCGTAATTTAAATATTAATTTAAATTTACTATTTCTTTCGTATGAAGAAGTTAACAAAATTTACGAGAGAATTGTTGATACATTTTATGAATTCGGGCTTAATATTAAACGAGGTAAATTATGAGAGCGAGCTATTTATGTAAAGTTTAATAATTTTGAGTATTGAAATTAACTTGTAAGTTTGGAAATAAATTAATCATTAATTACTCAACTTGCAATAAATAAATTAATTAGTTAAATTTATTTTAAGAAATTATGAAAAATAAAAACTTTTTAAAGCTTTAGTCAAAAATTGCTATTCACATTTTTTTAAAGTTACAATTATCAAAAAGTGAATAGAAAGTGTCTATTCAAGGAACCCACTGTATATATATGTATACCATGGGAGGTACTTCTTTTCTTTAATATCTTTATTTAAGTGATGTGTGTTAGCAAATTACATTAATATTTTGTCAACTATATTGTAGTGGTTCGGAACTTAAAAGGAAATTAAGTCATGAATTAAATGCGGAAACGAAATAATAGAATTTATGGTTTATATTCTTTACACAATAATTTAGAATGCCCAATAATGAAACGGTCTGTGAACTCCAAATGAGATAAATTATAAATTTAGTGCGGAAGCGAAATAAATAGTTAGAGTTTACATTCCTTACACAATAATTCAGATTATCCAATTGGGCTACGGGAATGACCATTTTAAAAAAAAATAATAAAATATCAAAGAAATAAATAGAAAATAAACAACTAAGCATCCTACTCGCAACCCTCTTGTGGATTGAGCTCTAGATCTTGATCATCTTGATGTAAAATTATTAATGAAAGAATAAATTACACTAGTCCAGTAAAAATATCACACTACTCACCGACACAGAAATAAAAGTTGGTAAAAATTATAAAAATAACTAATAGAGTTCTTAATTTAAGTAAATTCGTTTATCATGAATAAAATCATTTAATGCATACTTACTGTAATGGGATTTTCAAAAAAATCAACTTATAAAGTCAATAACATAAACAATATCAAAATCTTATATTCAATCAGTTAGAACAACGACTTTATCTTCTATCAGTCTACTGGTATCCATTATGGTCCATAGAGATGTCCTCACTATGCATGAATTTTTATTCAATATTTTCAAATAACGGGTCGTTCCCATACCCCGTCTGGTATGAGCGCCAAAAGACACCATCTCTCAATATCCCGTTTGGTATGAGAGTAAAACGGGTCGTCCCCATACCCCATCCGGTATGAGAGCCAAATTATCAATTCTTGATACCCTATCCGGTATGAGACAAGGTTCACGGTAGGGTTCCCTATGTACCTGATCCGTCCACCATCTCCCATAATATTCAGTAAGACTGTCGTTCATCCATCTACTTAATCAAATAATTTCTCGTTTATCTTTAATTTTCAGTTTCTCAATTTAACTGTAATCACGTAAAACAAGCAATACATGCATTAAGAAAACACAATCACAACATCATACCAATTTCAGTGCATTATCATGCATTCGAAAATTATAAAATCAGGTAATCAGTTAAACATAACAAATAGTGATAAGTAATCGGTTCTGACTCTACTAGTAACCTGTAATTAATTACAAATATTTTCTAAGTTTCACAAAATAACATATTATTTAAAATTAAATTTTAATTCCATAATAGAGAATAAAGTGAGGGATTTTTACCTGAATTGGTGTCCGAACGCTAAATTTTTTACTGCGCCTATTGGCAGTTCTCGGGTTTCTTAATTTTTTTTTTTGGAGATTAAAACATGTTTCAAGTACCTAGAAATACCCAAAAAAAATTCAAAATCAGTGTTATAAACTTTTTTTGGCCAATTCCAGAATTCTGGCACAGCGGCTCCACCGTTAAGGGATCTCAGTTGTACCAATCCCTATGAGAAAACACGTTAAGGAATCTCGGTTGGCCAAAAAGTCAAAAAATCAAAACTTACTGGCAGAGGAGTTCTCTGGTGCGGCGACTTTGCTGGCTCACCTTCATGGTTGGGTGTTTTGCTTCGGTCAGCCTGTAGAGAAATGAATGGTGATTACAATGGTGGAAAAATTACACGAAATGGGAATCATGAAGGGCCTCATTGGAGATGATTTTTGTTTTTTCTTGCGGCGGCGCCCTCGCACTTTGTCCGCGGTTTCCAGCTCATCTGCTGGTCCTTTTGCTCCGATTTTGCCATAGAAGTGTTCAAAATTGAATTTTGAGCGAATGGGGACATCCCTATGGACCCCCATGGATACCTGTAGGCTGATAAAAGAGAAAGTCGTTGTTCTGGCTGATTGAATATAAGATTTTGATATTGTTTATGTTATTGACTTTATAAGTTAGTTTTTTTAGAAATCTCGCTACGGTAAGTATGCGGTAAATGATTTTATTCATGATAAACGAATTTACTTAAATTAAGAGCTCTACTAGTTATTTTTATAATTTCTACCAACCTTCATTTATGTGTCAGTGAGTAGCATTATATTCTTACGGCTAGTGTAGCTCATTCTTTCATAATCATTTCAGATCAAGAGAATCAAGATCTAGAGCCTGATTCACAAGAGAGTTGTGAGTAGGATGCCCAATTATTTATTTTCTATTTATTTCTTTGATTTTTCGTTATTTCTTTTAAAATGATCATTCTCATATCCCTATTGAGTAATCTAAATTATTATGTAATGAATATAAACCTTAACTATTTATTTTGCTTTCGTACTAAATTTATAATTTATCTCATTTGGATCACGAGCCGTTTTAGTGGTATCAGAG